CACATAGAAGATAAAGATATTATTAAATTTTAATTTTTATTATATTTTTAATCGTGTATTTTATTAGTTTAATATTAAATATTATAAAATAAATATTTACATACAAAAAATCATATTGTCTTTAATCTTTATTCTTATAAATTGTTTAAATGCCGAAACTCTAATTAAATCATATAGAAGGTATTGCCGAAACGTCGAAACAGTTTCGGCAAGTTACGGCAGTTTCGCGATTTTGATAGGTTTCGCAGTTTCAGCATTTCTTGATGATTTCGTGAAACTAGTTTCGGCAGTTTCGCGTACGCCATTCTGCCGAAACCCTCTAGTTTCGGCAAGCAACCTTAAATGTTACAATTACTATACACTATTCTCAAATACTTTCTGAATATTAAAAAAATATTATAATCTGAATTTTTTAAAAATGTTAACAAGAAATTTACCACACTAACTAGATTTCTTATCTAATTTATATAGATATCTTAGTGAAAAAAATCTCTCTTGGTCAAGTGCTTATGCCTGTTATTTAATACTTCATAGATTTTTATGGTGTTTTTTCTGGTCTGCGCTTTTCAAAATAGAATGGCTTTAGCATTTACTATCAACTTCAAAAATCCTTTCACTGTTCTTGAAACTTCTACATGCTATAAATCCATTATGATGATTGTATTCTCAAATAAATATTTTGATGCAGAAATTTTAAAGTGAAATTCATTAAACTGTAATATGTATGTCTCAATATCTACTACTATGCAGGATTTTGTAGCTAAGGGTAATGCAACTATCATTATTTTCTTATTTCTTTTTCTTTTCTTTTCTTTTCTTTTTTCTTTTATTTCTTTTTTTTTATTTCTTTTTTTTTTTCCTCTAAATCTTCATGTAAATGTTTTATTATTCTTATTTTAATAATTTCTTTTTTATGTTTGGTATAGGCAGCTCTAAATTCAATACTAAGAATAGGGTTGTGAGAATAACTTTAGAATATTACTCCAGTTTTTGGAGATCTTCCATTCTTTTAATATACGTGTTCAAAACACCATATTTTTGTGCTATAATTTCAGTTCCTAATGATTTAAGAAAACCCTTCCCATCTAATTTCAGATTATTATAGCTAGCAGCATTTAATATTTTCTTAAGTTTTTCGTACAATTTAGATGCCAACTTTCTGCAACTTAACTTTAAATCATCCTTTCTGAGAAAGGCATTCCTTATTAGTGGAGTCCACACATATACACTGAACTAGTGTTCAGATATTGGTTGGAGTAGAGTACCATTTTTGAATAAAAAATAAAAATGATTAAATAGAATTTATACAAAAATTAGATTGTTAGTTACATCAGACATATTGATCAGATTTTTATTCAAATATTTTGCTAAAGATTTTAAATCCTCTACGTCTTTAAATTTTTCTAAGAATTTCAATACATCTTTCTCACAATCCACTACAAATTTGTCAATAAATCATTTTATCAGTAAAATTGACAGCTTCAGTTTCACAATCATGGAACTGATCTGCTATAAATCTTTTGAAATCAGGAGGTAGAAATTTAGTACAATTGTTGTGAATATTGACAACACTGATGGATAAAGGGCTTTTTGATAATTCAGATCTATTTATTTTTGAGCAGGCAAAACTCAATATATCAACATTATTATACACCAACTTCTCGCTCAGCATAACTTGTGTCTGATATGATTTTAAGACTTCGTCCACTAAGTCACAGTTTATATATTTTCTTGCCATTTTTTTCTTTTTGTCTTTCAAAAGTGGGATTGAATAAATAGGTTTAATTCCATCTACATTAATAGGCTCAATGAGACCAACTGGTATTTGTTGTGAAGAGAAAATAAGAAAGACATTCATAAGTAGAATGGATTTTATGACGTCCAAGTCTGAATCTAATGAAAGTTCTTCATTGTAAGATGATAGATTTTGAGAAGTTTTCACGTTAATAGTTCTGATCTATACATACATGTCAAAGAGTTAATAGGTGTTTTTGCTAGCTAAATTTGATATACAGTATACTGACCTTACTTGGCGGTGTTGAAGGTAATTCCTCACTTCATCTTTTTCTTGTCAGTGTATGATTATGCTCAACTTCAAAATTCTCCAATTGTCTTTTAAGTGTGGTTTATACAACTTGATCTTGAATGACTGCTGTTCTGATAACCTCGTTAAGGCAATGACATATATTAGTTAATATTTTAGGAGTGGGGGAGTAAAAGAAAATCTTAGATTACACATAATATAAACCATGTGAAATGGTTGTGATTGGTCATAAAATCTTACCTGGGGTGGGGGAGTAAACATTATTATTAAAATAATATTAGCTAATATATGTCACTGCCCTTATGTTGCTTTACCTATAAAGGAATGAAGAGAGAAACACATTTATTTGTGTATAATTCATTACTGAATTAGAGTTATGAAAGTGTGAAATTTTGTTTATTTTAATATAAAGTTTTATAAATTATATTAATTGTTAAAAAAATCTCTGATAGTAATTTTTTATATGATACTTTACCTATATTTTAATTTAATTATTTGATAGTACACCCTAATAACTCATGTCCAGTTTCTTTTTTATATTTTTTGTATAAGCTGGATCAAATCTTATCCGTCAAAATGATTGGTAATTCAGTTAATTTGGCATGCCAATCCAGATACTCAGAGTAAGTTAATACTTTATCAGACTTGCTCATATTGTCTTTTTATATAATTGCCAATCAATTTAAATTACAGTAGATAATAGCCAACATAAATTAGCCCTATAAAAAAATATTACAATAAAGCGTGAGTGAATAGATACTGTAAAACAATAACTATGCAGTTATTTCTATTTCATGCTATTCACATTTAATAAAATAGGATCCAGCTTTACATTGACCTTGCTTCTATACTTTTCTCATCATCATAGCCTAACTTACATAATGGGTATAATGTCTCGTGACTCTCATCAGTAATTCCATAATAATCAATATTTTCACTACTAAATTCTCTAAATAAAGTAGGATATTGATTCAATATTTTGTTATGAAAATAGGTATGATTATAAGTTGGACTATTGGGTTGAAAAATAAGTAATATCACCTCTACCTTGGTATTAAATTTTTTCAGGACAGATTCATTAGGAACTTGAGATTCAGTAAGCGTATCTGAACTGGTGATATGTGATAAGTTAGAATTTTTCTTATCACTTTGTGAACTTAATTCACAAAGTTGTGAATGTTATAATCAAAGGGCATATTATTTATAATATACTGGATGTCTTCATACGTCATTTTTGAGATAGAATTAGCAGAGAAGGAATGAATTCGATTTATTTTATCCATACTTAAAATTACGTTGCCGAAATAATTTTTTAATTTCGGATCAATTTCGGCTTTGTAGCATAACTCTAAAGTGTACGAGAGTAGCCAACTGAGACTTGGCAGAAATTTTTGCCAGGATCCAGAGAATATAGAGAAATTCTCAGATAATTTCGGTCTTATTGGCAACAGTTTCGCTAAGTTTATTTACCTTCGTCCCATTAATTAACTTTATTATATATCCGAAATATACGGCAATATTTAAAGGTGGAAATCCGGTGAAATCTTCAGACGATTACGTTTACACATTGTGGAGTTATGCCACTAAGCCGAAATTGGTCCGAAATTATAATTGCCGTCGGAATTAATTACGCCATATGAAGCTTATACCGTAATATATTAAATCGCCGTAATGCCGTAATATTTTTTTTCTGGTTATGCTGTAGATAATTTGTAATCCGTAAATTTATTATGCTGGTCTCAATGATTTGTTAAATATTTTTAAAAATGGTAAAATCCATGCCGTAATTTCAATTCGGCAATTCTGACGGCACCTATATCCGAAATAAATTATTTCGGCAAACATGTATAATTTGTATAATTACAAATCAAAAATATTTGAAAGATAATTCGGGGATTCGGTAAAATAATCCCCGATGGCGTTAATTTGAGAAACATTCATATAATTTAAAATAGATCAGAATTAGACCTAAAAAAAAAAAAATTGTTAAAAAAATGTCACAACTTCAAAATATTATCAATAACGAGGGGGAATCTGGTATTGTATAGTATAATTTTTTATATTTATCATTAAAGATTTTTGAATTTTTTTTTTTTAATAATTTATAATCGTATAAAATTAATCGTATAAAATTAAATTAAGGATGGGATACATTATGGCAAAAGGATGTAAGTAATTCTGTACTTTTTTTAAGGGCTTTAATTCATTTTTTATGACCAATCAACTAATTATCATGTAATTATGAAATTTCTTTTTTAGATAACTCCGTGGGATTTTGGTGATTCTTCACCAGCTTTGAAACAATTAATTGAAGAAAAAAAGTTTCCTTTACCTGAAGGACGTGGATTGGTACCAGGATGTGGAAAAGTAATTAAAGTTTAAAATTTAACATAATTAACATAAATATGGACATAATATACGCGGACTAAAACAATCTTTTAATATAGGGATTCGATGTATATTACTTATCGAGCGAAAAAAGGCATGTTACAGGATTAGATATAAGTCAAACCTTAATTGACCAAGTTCAAAAAGTAATTAACTAAATTTTAGTATATTCATTTATTTATTCTTTTGCTAATTTTGCTAATTTTAAGTTTAAATATGTGTTTAGGAACAAAAAGAACTTAACGTTCCCGATTCTAAAGTAACATTCCAACAAGGAAATTTCTTTGATCTTAATCCACCAGAAGAAAAATATCAATTCATTTATGATTATACGTATGTACAATATTGCATATTATTTTGAATATTCGACTTAATAATAAATTGTAAATTTTTCAAAAAAAAAAAAAAAAAACTTTTATCAAACCACCCACGGTACTCAATATGCAATCATGTGAAGATGTGAATTAATTAATTCTAAAGTTTTTTTTTTTTATCTAAAATAACCATAATTAATAAATAAAATAATATATATGTAGAATATATTACAAAAATAAGGGTTTAAAGGAATAAAATATATNAAAAAAAAAAAAAAAAAACTTTAGGTTCATGTGTGCTATTCCACCTCATTTACGTCCGAAATGGGCTTCAAAAATGGCAGAATTAATTTCTTCTGGTGGTATATTAATTGCATTAATGTTTCCCATAAGTAATCATACAGATGGACCTCCATATGCTCTCAGTACTGAAATGTAAGTATTGTACCTGATATTTTGGAACACGAAATATTTAAATTGTGGCGCAGCTTTTGGCACGTTTTTGAGCATTGACGCGTTTTTGTTTGAAAATTTTATAGATACCAAGAATTATTGGGAGAAAATTTTATTAGAGAGTACTTTGATGAAAATCCAAACAGCTTTGAAAGAAGAAAGGGAAAGGAACATATGTCAGTATGGAGAAGAAAATAATAAATTATATACAGTATATATGTATATATGAATATATATATATATTATATTTTTTTCAGAAAATAAAATTCTTTTTTTTTTAATAAAAATAATGTTAATGCTGCATCAAAAAAAAAACGGAATAAAGTTTTTTATTTATATTACATAACTCTTATCAAACCACCCACGGTACTCAATATGCAATCATGTGAAGATGTGAATTAATTAATTCTAAAGTTTTTTTTTTTTATCTAAAATAACCATAATTAATAAATAAAATAATATATATGTAGAATATATTACAAAAATAAGGGTTTAAAGGAATAAAATATATTTTTTAAATCAAATATTAGGACAATTTATATCTGGTATTGGAACAGAAATCTTTGGTTTATAAATCCAATCAATACCAGCCACAAATAATAATACATCAACCTTAAGTTTTAATGGAGTATGTCGAGTAACTTCAGGTGAGCAAGCGTTAATAAAATTCATTATAACGGGATCAGTTAGAGATTTGCTTGTATAATTGACCATTAATGGAAAATCAACCGTATCAATACGTTTTGGTAATAAAGTATAATCAGTTTTTGTCCCAGTAGCAATAGAATCAGAATTTGCAACTGTTCTATCAAATACCTAAAAGTATAGATAAAAAAAAAAAATTAGTAAATAATAATAATTATTATTAATATAAATTAAATAAATAAAAATAATAGCTTACTGTAACATCAATTCTATTGAATTTGTATGGAACATAATTTTTAGTATTATCAATTTCAATACTCATAGTAAAATTCATATTAATATAAGGAGGATTCGTACTAAGAATTGGTGCTGATGCAGGTGTAGCATCTTTAATGTTAACTTTAGGAATACGAGGCAGAACGAAAAATCCAGTAATTCCCAAACCAATTAAAATAATTAAAGTAATTAAAATACAGACTGGCCAAGTACAGCAACCGCAACATTTTCTTTTCTTTGGATCAACAACTGGCATAGTAAGATATTCACCAGTCATAGATTGACGAGCACCTTTGCCACCACCAGGAAAATCTCTATCAGTGTAATCATGTTCAAAGCCATAGACATTTGGATCCCCTGAAGTAAGAGTATTATGACGTGTTGCTTCTTCATCATAATAAGGATCATCTTCTTGACGGATATATTTACGTTGGGGGAAAAAACCACCCAATCCACTAGCCTGATTATAATCAGGGTAATGTTGTTGGTCGTAAGTATTCTTTTCCACTAATGGTTGGTGATAACTATCTCTTGTTAACACTGAACCGGATTCACCTTCATCATGTTGTTGTGAATATGAAATTACTGAAGCAACTTCATCGGTATTTTCTGTAGGATTAACATGAGGTGTTCCTATTGCAGTCGCTAAAGAAGAAATAAAAATAATCAATATAAATGAAATATATCATTAATCTTCAAATAAACATTACTTACCTCCACCTAATGATCTCGTTGAAAAATTCCCTTCACTCATATTTTGTTGGTAGTTGGACATAATTATTTTTTAAAAAAATGAAAAGGTTTCTTATATATATGTATGTATGATAAAAAATTTGTTTTCTATTAATAAAAATGAAGATCAATTTTAATATTAATTATAAAATTAATTTACAACTTTAAGAAGGAAATTTCTTTGATTTTTTTTTTTTTTTTTT